TATGCACTAAATTTGCATCATGCAACCCGAAGACCCGAGTTCGATTGTCGCTTCTCCACTGTGACTTATAATAAAAATAAAATGTTTCATCATACATGGAAACAAGCAGAAGTTGGAAGCAAAAGCAGCCGACAAAACGGCAGCAAATTGGAATTCGATTATTAATTAAGCTTGGGCAATATTATTCCTAAATAGAATTCCTACTACTTGTCTGATTTTATAAATCGTTTTCCAACTGGATTTGGGGAACATTTTCCATTTCGGACACTAACTATACCTTTCCTATATATACGCATGCTCGGGCATTACTACCTTTCATCTAAATTTGTCTACGTGCATACTCCTTGCTTGTTTTTTCTTTACTGTTTCAGTCATGGCTCTAAGAAACACTGCTGTCGTGAGTTTCATCATCATGATGATTTTCTTTGGTGCTTGTTCCGCTACCATTTATACGGTTGGTGGCGATTTGGAAGGGTGGACCGACAGTGGTGCGGTTGATTACAACGAATGGGCTTCATCGAAATTTTTTTATGTGGGTGACGAGTTCATATTTAATTACAAACATGAAAACGATTTTGTGATGATAGTCACTCAATCAGATTATGACTATTGCATTCCATCACTTCCCCTATCTCATTACGGTACCTTTACCGCCTTAACTTTTGATATACCCGGCACCTACTACGTTATTTGTGGTGAACCTGGTCACTGCAAAGCCGGCCAAAAGATTAAAATCAAGATCAATGCCCTCGAAATAGAAGATCCAGTCATTAGTCCAAGCCCCTCTCCTTCTCCATCCTCACCAGCAGGTTCTTCGAAGGCAATGTCACTAAGCTCAAAAATCACACGACCGCTCCCGGTTCTTAATCTTGTGATTGTCGGTGGGGCTGCTACCGCGCTTCTTGTGTTGGTGGCTTGGGTTTCGCATTTTATCTACCGCCGTTTAAATGAATCGATGTTCCAAGCCGAGAAGAGCTCCCAAGTAGTTTAAATGTATTCTTTATTTTATTCGGATTGATTGTATATGAATTCGTACTTTCATTAGTTTTAGTTGTTTTCAACATACACTGTGGTTCAACTTACATATATGAAGAGATTATTCAGATTACATATAATATCCATTTGATTTTTGTTAAGATGAGCTTGAGTTTTTCTCACTTTTTGCTCATCTGGTTCTTTTGAAATTGATGATTCGTGTTTGGGTTGTGGTGTTGTTTTGGTACTAAAGCAAGAAACCCTTGGTAAAGACACTTGGACCAGGAACTAAGAAGAGCACGACAAAACCAAACTCTCACTACTTTCTCTTCCCTTTTCTCTATTCAAGTTATTTCCCTCTGCCTTCTTCCTCCCTTTAAAAGCTCTCAAAATCTTATTGCTTTTGATTAATCTCTTCAGCCTCCATTATTTCTGCTAACCTTTCTCTCTAAGCACATCTTTTTCTGATCTGGGTCTTCGTTACTTGTTTATTCACGTCATAGTTTTCAATTTCATTTGGGTTCTGCTAACTTCATCACCAGTGATAGAAAAAACAAGGCTATTCTGGGTTGATGGGTTTTTGTTGGTTTCTTGATTGGTCTAATCAGAATCCGAGAAATGGGTTTTATGAATGAGATGCAGGAAGTGGATATTTGCTTTCAGGTCAGCAGCCCTTCCTTCTTCTTTCTTCTCCATGTTGCACATATATTGATTCTCTCATATGAATGCTTTTGTTTTGTTATATGAAAATAAGTGGTAGAGAAAAGAAAATAATTTGCTTTTGTCATCGTGGATTTCTAATTGTTTTGGACCTGAGAATTTTGGAAGTGGGCGGAGTTAGTTCATCATAATCTGAAACTCAAAGCATAGTCTTAAGGTTCAAATCTATGGATTCTTTCTTGCAGCAGCCAAAGTTGGGATTAGGATTTGGATTTATAAAAGTGAAGCCAGAATGGTTTGCCTTGCTGTTGGTTTTTTATCCAAAAAGGATCGGTCTTTCTTGTTGATCTGCAGTTACTAGTAAATAAGTTGTTCGGGTTGAATTTTACAACGGGTTTACCTGTTTCGTGGTACTTAGTTACTGTTTAAGTATTTCCGTTCATTTCCCTTTCGACTTCTCTATACTAACATGATTAAACTGAGCCAGTACAATCGTTTGATATTTGAATATCTTGGCAGGATTAAGATGCGCTTTTGGTTTTGGATATTTGGAATTATCGAGATCAAGGGTTTGAACCTACATTTTCTTTCTTCTTAATTGAATTCAAGAGAAAGAAAAGAGAGATAGGAATTAACCTTATCATTGGCGGCTGATATGGATTTGATTCAGTCGTCTTCTGCTTGCAGATAGCTTACATTTGTATTCTGTCAAACAAACTTTGCAAGTTGATAGGTGGAGTTCATTCAGCTACACAGTGTAGTTTTTGGAAATAATTGGTTTGTGTTTGCGAAAATTCCTTTAGTTGGGAAATTTCTTCACGGGGGTTTTTTACTATGGGAAGAGGTAGAGGAAAAGCAAAGAAACAAAACGTTATTGCTGCTCGTGAGGATACCGGAAGTGAAGAGGAAGGGATTCTACCAAGCAGGAGAAGAGGAAGGCCACAAAAGACATTGAAGGACGATATTGGAGAAGGATAAGTGGCTTTGAAGACAGAAGATGGCGATGATGCAAAAGGTCATGTTTTGAGCAAAGACATGAAAGACCAATGTGCCATAGAGAATGGAAGGAAAAGGAAGAGGTCGGCTCAGGTCAAAGAAACTATAAAATCAGTCAAAGAGGATAAAATGATTGAAACAAAATCAAGTCTTGATAACCCAAAAAAAGTCTGTTGGATTCCGACAATATGGGAGTAGGCAGAAAAATAAGCCTCACCGAGCTGCTGAAGCTGACGTTGAGTGCAAATGAGTTCAGCTCTGCTGCTGTGACGGTTGCACACCTTCTTTGCTCAACTCCTTGGTTGGTTCACCTATCATTTCACCTATCATTCCTTATACTGCCTTGATTATGTGCTCTGCATTTCTATAATTTCTGAGTTCCTTCTTTGCTAGCGGATGATTTTGATTGTCAGGTTCCAATAACAATGTTTGCTTGTTCCATGCTTTTTGCTTCTGTTACTAGCCAGAGACATGCTTTCTGTTGGCAGTAAAAAGAATACCTCTGACCATATTCATGTTTTGAAATCAGACGAAATGCCTTAATTTTTCCGCGTATATTCCTATTTTGCCTGAAAAGGAACTAGTGCTTTGATGTAGGCTAGCTGCTCAAAAGAACGAAAACTGAAAACTTATAGCTGGAGATAGACCTGTAGACCCAAAGTCTTGAATAAAGATATGTCCTTTGTGATGATGTATTATAGGTTTTGAATGGATTTTGTTGCACGTTCGTTGAACATGTGAACTAGAGATGTGGCCTTTGTAATGGTTTTCCATGGTATCAGCTGAACTCTCTCTCTTTCTCTCTCTCACAGAAAATGAATAACGTCTTACTCTGACTTCTTATGCACATGTTGGCAGAAGGTTAATGTTGACACTTTGTCGCAATTGATAGCTGAGGATACTCAAATACTCCACAGAGGAAAATCAGGTGAGTTTAAGGGTTAACAGATTCTATTTTAATTTTATTAAGTCTATGTAATTATATGTTCCCGTGCTGAGTCATGGATGTCGTTCCCTTTAAGCTTGATAACAGTCATCTCTGTGAATATATGCTGTTGTCCTTTTTACTTATCACAGCAAAAAATGAAGGTTGTTTAAACAATTGTTTGTTTTCTTCCTCCGTGCTTTATGGTCCTTGATAAAGAGTGGTCATATTCACAAACACACGTGCAAGCACACGCTTACACACATTCTGATATGCTGGCAAACAATGAAAAGCAAGATTTTCAAAATAGAAATTTTATATGCTTTTGCTTTCTGGTTCATATTTTAGGTGATGATGTTATACTCTGTGTGTGCAGAGGAGTTAAACATGATATGTCAAAGACTCGAATGTTGATGCTTAGTCAACGAATAGGGTGTACTCAGTATTGTTTGTTTACTGTGTTATGTTTAATTTAAGTCATTCGTTAACAAGCCAAGTTAGGCAACTGAACATGCGTCTCAGATTGATATGAACAAAGTTACTTCTTACTTGAACTATCACATGATTCACATCTAAAAATTAGAAGCACTTTTTCATGTCAATTCACTACTTGACCAAATGCATCTCATTTCTATTGATATGGAGCACGCACTTTATTATTTCATCCTTGGCCTTGACCTTGTCCACGGTTGTTGGCACCATAGCGTTGGGATTTACTGTTTGGGACATAAATGAAAATTAGGCCTGTTTAGGGCGAAAGCAATTTCATTTGTGTTTAAGCTTGCGAATTGGGATACAAGTAGCATAACTAGTCCTAGGAATATTGGTGCCCTTTATTGAAGGGCGCCAATTTCCATTTCAGTCGACAAGGCTCTGTGCGCGTGCCCTTGTATGACTGCTAAACTGTCATTGCGTATAAATTTCCAGCGCTGGCGCAGCCTCGCAGAGCTGGTCAAGACAAAAGGTCCAGTTTACCTCACTCGCACTCTGGAAATTATCAAACCTGAGATGGCTTGACGTTGCCTTCTCCCATATTTCCTTCTCATTTTAAGTCCTACTTGTTTGAATTTACTAGCGCTTCTGTTAGAATCCTGTATTTCATTTTCTATTTTAAAGATTTGTACGCTTTCTCTCTATCACTATAACGATTAAAACCAGTTTATTCATCTCTCTTCTATTTCGTTCGAGCACGCTTCAGGGGCACACTTGCACGCATCTCTCGCTTGTACCAAGTTGGATGCCATAGTTCGAAAACGAAGAAAAGTTGTTCGATACAGAGTTGTTTGCATTGATGAGCTTGCAGATTAACATCAAATAATTTAGTTGATAAGTTTACAAACTTATAGTAACACTCAAACAAATTGAACCAATACATAATACAAAACAAAAGTATTTGAGAATGAAACACTCTTTGTAGAGTTGCAACTCTTAATGGCTAAACATTCTAGTCGAGAATCGGAGAGCCCCACAAGTGGTGCCCTAGGTGCATATTAATACCACACTCCAAACATTCACAAACCAATCCTTGGCACATCATACGACACTTGGAGTTGGAACAAGGAAGTAAGCGCTCTCTCTTATCATTAGGAATCTCGCTTTTTCTCTTATAAACAAGGGCGACGTTGTGCTGGTGATCACGATGCTTGTAAGAGCCCCCTAACTTGACTTGCGGATACGTCCCTCTAATGCAATCAGGATGACATTCAAAGTCACAATCCGGGCAGGAGTAGAACCAATGTTCTGGATCTCGTATTCCTTCGCATATGTCACAATAGTACTCATCGAGGTCATTTTTAACACTAGCATAAGTGAGTTTGAGAGGATGATCGTCGTAATTGTACCTGACTGTAAGAGGTAATTTAACACACGAAATACACAGATGGAAGTCGCATCTCTCACTGCCACATCTGAAGCAGAAATTCTTATCACGAGTACCACAACTTCTGCAGGACACGAGCTTTGTGCTGAACCGGAGGGTGTGAACATGAGCATCACAACGGAGAGTCCTACGCTCATAAACAATACTGCAATAAATGTCGAGGTAGTAGTCGCACCTTTGACAATGGTATGAGAAACCTTGGCTCAAGGACGCGCACATGTCACACTCAAAAACGCCACCGACAGAAGATGCTGTTGGAAGGAGTGTGAGCTCGTGTTCGTGAAGTGGGAGAAGCCTCTTTCGGGGTAATTTAGCACAATTTATGTGGAGAGAGAAATTACATGGCTTTTCTATTGCTTGTTCTGTGCATGACCTATAAGACTCACCCCTCATGATGGGTAGCGTGCAACCGTTACAAGTAATTCCTTCATCTTGGCCGTCTTGTCTAGCCACCTCTTGGCCATCGATGAGGGTTAACATGTGTGGATGACTGAAGTGCTCGATCTGCAAGGGTTTATCATCAGCGGTGGTCTCATCGGTTGGGGGACGTCTAGATGTGGATGGTTCATCATCATCATCATCATTGACGAGGATGTTCTTGAATTTCCCCTCTTTTCTTATGCATTTACAGTGGGCAGTATAACCACGACATTCATGATCATGACAACAATAAATAGCACGGTTTCCGTCCATTTTTTCTGAGCAAATGTCACAGAAATCTTGGTCTTTGGGGTACATGTCATGGAACCACCAGGTAAGCTTGAGGCGATGTTGGTGCCGTTCTATTTTGACTTGGAGTGGTAACCAAGAGCATTTGGCATGGACAAGGAGCTGGCAGATGTTGCAGAGGTAGAAGTTTTGTTTGTCATACTCACCAACTAGGCCACAGACACCGCAAGTGAATTGAATGGGCTGCATGAGGATGGTGAAGTTGTGCTCATGACCGACGTTTTGCCAATTGGAAGCACATTTGACGTGTATAGAGAAGTCGCATTCAGAACAACAGTAAGATAGAATGTATGCACTTCGACGTGACTGGTCACAGTTACAGACACCACATGTGTAGCCGTAGTTTTCCTCGAGAATAAGAGGGTGATTGGGGTGGATCGGGTGGCGGATCTCAATGGGCAACTCCGCACATGATTTATGTATATTGAACTTGTAGCCAGTGGACCACTTATCGCACGTGTCGCAAGTATAGTGAGGCCCAAACAATGGTTCCAGGCATCCCTTAGGGTGCGTTTGGTACGCAGACGGAACGGAACGGGACGGGACGGAACGGGACGGAACGAAACGGAGGTTCGTGTTATGTTTGGTACGCGTAGGACGGAACGGTTTGGATTTCGTGTTAAATGACTAACTTAGCCTTGTTTGTACAATTGCTGAGTGCGAGTATGAACTCAAACAATCAGACCCCAGTTTTCGTTTTCCTTCGTTTTCTCGGCAACCAATCCAGTTTCAGATCTCGTCACCAGCAAACCCTCCAATCAATTTCAGATCTCGTCACCAGCAAACAATTACAAGAAGAAAAAAACAGAAAAATCCCAAAATCAAACACAGAAAAATCCCAAAATTCATTTCAATCAATTTCTGCAGCTTCGTCATCGTCCTCCCTGCAGCATCGTCATCGTCTTCCCTGCAGCGTCGTCATCGTCTTCCCTGCAGCGTCGTCATCCGTCCGTCGTCGTCGTCGTCGCGGCCTGCAGCGTCTTCCCTGCAGCGTCGTCATCATCCTTCGTGCATCGTCGTCGTCGTCGTCGGCCTGGCTATGGTGACGGCGCCGGAGAAGAAGAGGGGTTGCTGGTGACGGCTCCATGGTGACGGCGCCGGAGAAGAAGAGGGTTTGCTGGTGACGGGTGACGACGCCGGAGAAGAAGAGGGGTTTGCTGGTGACGGTGGTGACGTCGTCGTCGTCGGATGGGTTTGCTGGGATTGGGTTACTGGGTTTGTGGTGGATGAAGAGGGAGGTTACGGGAAAGAAGGGATTGGGTTACTGGATTTGTGGTAGAACAGAGGGAGGTTACGGGAGAGAAGGGAGGTAGACAATGTAATTAATGAAAAAAAATAAAAGGGTATTGTTGTCCAAAAAAAAAAAAATTGTGTCCCACGGGATGGAAAAACCTGTTCCAGGGGGGGGAGGGGGAACCAAAATCTGACCCTTTTTCGTTCCGTGGGACGCGTGTTCCACACAATTTTAAGGCACCAAACGTGGGACGGAACGGTTCCGTCCCACTCTGTTCCGTCCCATCCCACGTACCAAACGCACCCTTACAGAACTGCGGTGGACCATCATTCTCCTTCTCTTCCTTGAAAGTCAATGAATGTTCGTGAATTCTCGGATCCATCTCTTTATCTAATGCATGAAGTACTACTTAATTCAGTAGATATTACCAACTAATATGATAACAACTAAAATCTACATGGATGCAAACTTGCATCGATAAATTAATAATAAATAAAATATGTTTTTAAAATATTAAAAAAATAAGAATCATACGAATCAAGAATACAACATGAAGAAATATTATTTAAAAGTTCAATTACAAAGAGAAAGGAGAAAAAGTTCGTAGGGAGGATTCGGAGATACCAATATGCCTCGACGCCGGAGTCGTAAGCCTCGTCAAGCGGGCAACTGAACCGCCTAGTCGAGCTCAGTTGCATAAAACTCACCAGTTCCTGCAGAATTCGTCGGAATTCTTCACCGTTCGCCATCGTGCGTGCATTGACCTTCGATTGGAATACTGGGCTTTGCTCTCAAACTCGAGGCGAGTCCAATGGTGGTGGTCTCGAGCCTCGGTTGTTTGCCGTTTGGCCAGAAAGGCTCGCCGGAGTTCCGAAAAACTTGCCGGAATTGGGTTTTGGCCGGTTTTATGCACAATTTTCAAATCTTCTTAACTTCCTCAATACCAAGTCTTATGCTTTTCGTTGCCGTTGTTTCGTTTTTCCACAGAAAAGGGGCGGGGGAAAATCGAACCAAGCTTGACTCGCGGTTGGTTTCCGTGGCCATATGTACGGCTAAAAGTTTTAACTCGTGGGCCATCATTAAACTATGACCTTGAAAAGTAGAAGGAATGTTCGTGGTGGGGGAGTGTGCTTGTGTGGGACGAAGTAGATAGTTTGGAGAGGTTAAAAGTGGGTGATGGGAAACCAAAGCAATGCAAATATGTGGGGTGGAAGCAACATGTTCGGAGAAAAAGGAGACGTTTAAAGAGGAAAAAGATGGGGAGAGAAAGTTTCACCAGTCAGATTCATTTTCTTTTTCAAATGCAAGTTTGAATGTTTAATCTGGTCATACCTTTCTTTTCGAAAAGGCTTAAACCCAGAATGTTGTGAAATTGATTTTAAAATTTGAAAAAAAAAACTCAAATGCCCAAAGAATTTTTTTCTTAAAAAACGGGTTTTTTTTTGTTGAAAAGCAATATTTCTTTTTCATTGGCCTAGAGGAAAGTTTGGTCTGAAATAAGTTTTAAACATCACCACAAGACTTGGTTACCGTCACAAAAAATTTCGCCCGTATCAGTCGATAGGGTTTGTATTTCATTATTTAAAAGAAACTTAAAAACCAATATCAAATTCATTTATTTTGAATTACAACTTAGTTTTTTGCCATAAATTTGGATTTATAGTTATGGAACTTTGAATTTGTTCTTTTTTTTTTTTTGCAATAAAAATAAATAATTTAATTTAAAAACATTTAGTATCCTTCTCCAAATTATTTAGGCAATCAAACTTTTTTTAATTTAAAAAAAAAAAAGACAAAGGTTAAATCGTTCAGACTTTCAACTCTTTTTTTTTTATTAGAGCAACAATCAAAAGCTTTACGAGAGTTACATAAAAGGTTTAGAAGGTTAAGCTAATAATAATATAATAATCATACTTAATCTATTGAGGAAAGGGTCAAGGATTGGTTGCAATTACTTTGTCACGCATCTTATTATTTAAAATACTTAAATCGATTCATAAAACAAAGCCTAAGACAGGAACTTTAGATTTGCACCTGAATTTTTTGATGCTCATTGCAATTTTACCTTCTCTGGATTCCTTGCCAACTGCAAATGGAGACATTAACTTAGACGGCAATAAGTGTTATACTCATGTGGCATGCAGATTCTTCTATAGTTTTGGGTTATCTTTTCCAAGCACCCATTTGAAAGATTTTAGAAAAAAGGCGGCGGCACAGTTGTAGGAGACACTGATTAGTCAGTCCCTGTAAACAAAGCTACAACTTCTGCCTTGTTTGGTGATTTCTGGCAAAATCGGATTGGTGGGTTACAAACGTAGGGCTCGACGAGGACTTGAGAAGAAGTTAAGTTGTCAAAAATCGGAGATTAATTAAGAGAAACAGAAAGGTTATAAAATTTGTGTTTAGGGGAGAGCCAAAACGGAAACAAGAACAACCCCTCCCTTTTTTTTCCTTCGATCATCCAACCCCCCCCCGGCCACGGAAGAAGAAAATGGTCTCCTCCCTTCTAGAACAATCTCCTGTTTTTTTTTCCCAATTTACTTATATTGCCCATCACCTAAAAGATAAAAAATCCGCACTTCTTCGTCGTTCCGATTAAGCCCAACGAACATTATTCAATATACAAATTATATGTCGTGCGACGACGAAAGGACACATCTCCTTACGGGCATTTTGATCTTTTCACTTATCAATAAATTTTACGTTGTAAATTATAATAATTTCTGAAAACAAACTTTAAAAGTTCTTAATTAAATTTTTCATAACCATAAATCATTTATTCTCGATTTACTCCACATAACCATGTATTTTAAATTTTCAGGGTATTACACTAAGAATCCTTGATGACTAGGCCATGTTTATTTCTTTATCTCGTCATGTATAATTTGATAGCTTGCATTTCACGAAAAATAAAAGATTCTAATAATTTGTTAACCTTTAATAATTCTGGTTTAGATCATTGAATTTTCCTTTTCTTGTGACAAAATATTTAACTTCATTTATAAGGTTATTTTACAGAGATTATACTATGCAGTGTTGGAGCAATATTAAAAAAATATGAAAATAATACAAGAATTTTAATGATAATAATCATAATGAAAATTACAACATAAATTTAAATTGTATACAAGATTAATATAAACAACAGAGAAAGTAAGAAATACTAACAAACTTATTGTTCGTTGGAAATTAATTTATAATATTTATTTAATTTTTTAATGAAAATAAAGAGTCAAGTGTTATAATTGAATTCAAATTCATGAGTTGCATCGGTTAATTGGAACTTTAATCAACAATCAAATGTTTCAAAATGGATGGCTCAAATTCTATAAACTCAAGCATCCCACCTGTCTAATGCATACAAAAACAAAATAGATTCTTACTCTTGAGAAACGGGGGGTTTCCCCTCTCTATTTCCACCAGGGTTCAAAGATTTTAAAGTGCTTCAACTTTGGATTATATATTGTTAAATTCTGGGAGACAAACGCCTACCGAACTACGAGTATGGGCGAAATTCTGTCTTTAGGACATTGCATTCATGCAAGTCTCAATCTCCAAGTTTGTCAGCATTTCTTCCTTTCTCTGTTGTTTATATTAATCTTGTATACAATTTATGTTGTTATTTTTGTTTGTACCATACTTGACCAATCTCGAAACTACCGAGCACTGGTCAACGTTTATACCATCAAGGACCCATAAGAGTTTTCCTTTCAACTAAGAGGCCAATCACAGCGCGACACGTGTCGACATCAAGAAGCCAATCATAGCGCGACATGTGTCAACATCAAAAGCCAATCACAACACAACACGTGTCAATGTCAAAACAAAACTAAAAACTCTCTTCTATAAAAGGAGATCATTCTCCCACAATATTTCCGAATGTCATTTGTACTAAATCATTCACTTGTACTCACTAAATGAGAGCTTGAACCTATGTACTTGTGTAAACCCTTCACAATTAATGAGAACTCTTCTACTCCGTGGACGTAGCCAATCTAGGTGAACCACTTACATCTTGTGTTTGCTTCCCTGTCTCTATCCATTTACATACTTATCCACACTAGCGACCGGATCAATCTAGCGAATGTCACAAACTTAACATTTTCTGTTGTACCAAAGTCCCTACTGATTTTGTGCATCAACAATTTTCATTATGATTATTATCATTGAAATTCTTGTATTATTTTCGTATTTTCAAATATTACTCTAACAATCTAAAGACAAATTTTTTATGGGACAATTAGAAAATTATGTGAAAAAATCAAAGAGAAGAAAAATTGACATCATAAGATGACAAATCTGGCCATCATTTGGAAGAAGGGCGTTTCTCTAATATGAGATATTGATGATGTCAAATGGTTTGGAACTTATTAACTGTTAAGGTTTTATCACATTGAGATGAGATTTTCTACACTGCCCGGCCGTATATACCTTTTCAGTGTGGCGTGCGCGCGGTGGTGCAGTTATAACTTTTGGTTGAAATTTGGAATCAAATCATTCATACAAAAAGGTTTCAATGCTTGGCATGAACAACTGTTTGTTTGATTGGGGTAGATCTTGTATGTCAACTAAGTTATTTATGAATTTTACTTTTGGTAGAAATACATCTGGGTACGTTCTGCACATAAAGTAATTATGTGTTTTCATGCTTTTCTGCTCTGGTTTGCATTGGTTTCTTCTGGTGCAAAGAACCGAACCATAATCTTGTACGTGCACAAGTTAAGTAAAAGTGACTAATTTGAATAATCATATGAAATGGTCAAACGGTCTGTCTTTTGCAAACCGTGAGCGTGTTTGATATATACTAGTCAAGACATGGCTTCACTGTTTACTGTAATATATATTTTCAAAAAATTAATCTGAGGACATGAATTTTGTTCTATACATTAGAACATACTAGAAAATCTGTTCGCACTTCGTTACGGGCATTGAATGTATTAGTCACAATAAAAAAATGTCGTACCCAGTGCACAAGGCTCCCGCTTTACGCAGGGTCTGGGAGAGGTGAATGTCGGCTAGCCTTACCCCCATTTATGGAGAGGCTACTCCCAAGTCTCGAACCCGAGACCTACCGCTTATGGGCGAAGGCACTTGCCATCGCATTTGGTAGGAAGGTAATCACACCCTCAAATGCACCAATGCAGATAACACACATTTTACGAAAGCAAATAACACACATTAATGCCCCTTCACATAAACTGCAGGCCAAGTTGCGGAGAACACATTTGCATATTCCTTCAAGGAAAATTTGTAGGCCTTTGTTAAATTATGTATTAAAGAGAACCAAACTCTATTCCCCAAACACTAAATTTGTTCGCTTGAGTCACAGTCCTCTTGCAAGGATAGTAAAACTCAAAAGCTTATTGTCCAAAACCAGAAACAATTTGTACCATTTACATGCCTATGCAACATATGTCTTACACTAGAAAAACGTCTAAACTTGAATACAAATTTGTAATCACAGACGGATTTTGTTTTACATTTTTATAATCAAGTAGCAAGTAAAATTACAAACTTGCAGCAACGAAACACACAACATATTGTATGGAAGCTAACAATAGAGGTATGTGAAGCAAACTGTGGCATGAGCTAAAGCCTCTTGAACAAATTGGAGGTACTTTAGCCTCTATTCCTCCTCAATATAAAAAAAAATTACAAAAACATAGTAGCTTCACCAAAAAATGCATGATGAAATGGATACATAGTTTTCAAGCAAAGAGAGAGAGAGTACTTTAACTCTTTTTATGTA